AATGTAATTGTTTCATGTATGTAAAGTTTATGCTTGCAGTGACTTACTTGCTTGAATAAGAGGTGTACATATCTCTTGTCTGACTATTGTATTTTTTGAAATGGCGAAGAATGAAAGCGAAATCTACAACTAATAAATCCTACCAACTACCATTTTTTGTACATAGTTAAGCACAAAGCGATCTATACATATCTCTTTCAAATCCAAATTCCAACGATACGCAAAAGAAGGAACATTCACGGGATTATCCTATCAAAAGTTGTCCTGTGAGTACTACGCGGTAACTCGATTTTTTGGCGTGCCATACTGATCGAGCTTTTCAGCTGAAATAACGTGGAAAACAGTGTTTGAATAAACACTTGAAACGAAATTTGACTATTGTCAAATTTTCTCTGATCCAAGAAATCTTGGATCGATTAAATTGGTACTGGCCCAAGCGTCTTTGACGCTTACTGGTAAATTTTCCGGTTGTTCCCAGTTTTAATCCCGTTTTACACCCTGTTTTTGCCTTTTTATTGCGGTCGTTTTCCTATTGTATACGTGTTGTTATTCTAATCTGTTTTCCACATGAACATGGCTGTCTCGCTAAACACCGAGACGGATGGACCTATGGGGTCCTCGTTTGATGAGTCTACTGCAGCTTGCGGACAGGTTAACTGTTCAGAGCCAGTAACAGATGCATCTGGTGGTATGCAGTGTGACGTCTGCTGCCGCTGGTATCACGAAAGCTGTACCGGCCTACAAGCTGACCAGTACCAAATGCTATCATCAAGCGTCCACTTTCTTTTCAGCTGCGCTGAATGCTGCGCTAAAAGATCGACGCGCCCGGCTGTCACCGGTGCTAAACTTTCAGCGTTGGCTTCAAGGTTGGCAGATGTTGAGTTGGCGATAGCTAAACTCGCCTCTATTGCGTCGCTCGATACGAAAATGGATTTAATTTTAAAATCCCTAAATATTTCGTTTGAAGACACAGCAATAGCCGGCAACATTGCTGACGATCCATCCACTGGAGTCTCTCACTCGATCATAAAGTCGCACATCCTACCGGCCAATCCAGGTAGCATTGCTGGCGGTCCTCATGATCCGATCAAAGTGAAGAAAAATAGGGTGCGGAAATACCTAAAGCCCTCTGCTAAACCCAGAGAAATAGTTGCCACGGCATCAAACGAGATGCCGTCTTTGACAGTCGTAAAGTCGTCTGAAGATTGCACACAGAACTTTCCACAGACGCTGACTGTCTCGGCCGCCAGTGAACCAGCCTGTTCTGACGAAATGCTGGTAACTGCCCAATGCGATACAAAGTCAACAGCCCCTGCTCCAGTGAGCCAAAAGAAGAAGCGGACAAGATCTGCTCGTAAAACTTCGAAGGGGCTTGAAGACCCTGGAACTAGTAAGACGCCGGCAATAGAGCGGAAAACCTACGCTACCGTTGCTTCGGCGTCGTTTGGGAAGCCAGCGACAGTCCCACCGCCAGTGGTGAAAACAGCTGGTATAGGTGTCGAATCAAAGGCACGTGGGGTAAACACTCCCCGTCGTGCCGACTCTTTCACGGATAGTAGCGTTATATTCCGTAACGTTACTGAATCTGAGGCTGTTCTCCCAAGGGAACGCATCTTGGATGACATCAAGTGGCTGAAACTGTGTGTCAGCAAGCTGCTTCCACCTGGTTTCCCTGGTGTCACTGTCAGAAAGCTGACCAGATTGGGGAACGTTCCTATCGCTACGCCAAATCCACGACCCCGACTACTTCGCGTAGTCCTTTCTACCCCGGAGGAACGCAAATCGTTACTGCGATTTGCATTCAAACTTAAGGGTAGTGGTGTCAGCGTTCAGCCGGACCTCCCACTGGCAGATAGGTTGAAGTTAAAGGAGGCTATCAAAGACCTCAAAACTAGACGGGCGGCTGGTGAACAAGGCCTCCGTCTGGTGGGTTTTCAGGTGGTCAGCCGGAAATTACTTTCCGCCCTATCAGAACCAATCCTGATGGCGCACGACCCAGGGATGGTCGTGCCGACTTCCTTGAGGTAGTACTTAGCAACGTGCGTAGCCTAAGGAACAAGGTGCACGAGTTGGGTCTACTTGTAGACAAATCTCGTCCCGACATACTTGCTTTCACTGAGACGTGGTTGTCTCCGGATATCACGGACGGTGAGGTATATTTACCTGGCTACGCGCTGCTTAGAACTGATCGCTCCGTTGGTCGCCAAGGCGGAGGCGTTGTACTGTATGTGAGCTGTAACTTAGATGTGTTGAGGACTTGCACATTCCAGTCGTCGGATCAGACTGTTGAAGCCCTATCGGCTGTTTTGTGCACTTCCTCTACCCAGTTTACAGTTATAGTGGTATACAGAAGTCCTGGAAGTTCCTCCAGGGGGATACTTGACTTTATTCGCACTCAGTCTGCGAATAAGTGTTTAGTTCTAGGGGATTTCAACCTCCCGGAAGTCTGTTGGGCCGATCTTTCTTGCAATTCGGCATTAGGAACATTCGGTGCAGACTT